CGGGTCCAGGTCAACCCTTCTAGATCAGCCTGTTACATGTTGGGGAATCCCTTAGCCCAAGTGCCGAAGCGTCTTGCATTTTGCGTATTTTGGGATTTGGAAACATTTGCATACACATAATGAGAGATCTTGGGGACGGGACCCAAGTCTAAATACAAAATTCATCGATGCTTCATATACACCTTAGACACACAGCCCGAAAGTCATTTCAAACACTCATCTTTTGAAATTTTGTTCAAGAAACAGTTTCGTGCTGGGGGATTCTCCCCTTGCAGGGTCGCGTGGGCGCTCTAGAAATTCCGAATTTGGAAGCGGTTCAGGTTTTCAGAGTCTGGATGCTGGACCTGCAATTCTCTCTCCCTCTTGTGCCTTCTGAGCGCCTCCTTTTCCCTTGGCCCCCCACATCCTTCAGTAAGTACCTCCTTGAAGTCTCCTTTCTTAAGCCATTTGGGGGTGACCTCTGCCTCCCACCTGGCCTCTGTCTGACACAATTTCTGTTACTGGAAACGGTGTTGGGGACATGGTCGGTCCTTAATGAGCACTTGTGGAATGAACGGGCTTTTCACATGCAGCATCTCGCGCAGCCCTTGCAAAAATGATGTTAAATGAGATTTTTCTAGATAAACGAGGGATAGGTTTCTAAGTGAGAGAAGCACACCCCTGCCGCGTCCTGGGTGACCTCCAGCCATACTCCACCCTCTGCAGAGATTATGCCCAGGTTGGATCTGGAATGTTCCTCAAAGGCCCATGTGTCAAACACTTGGTCCCCAGTCCCTGGCACTGCCGGAGTGGTGGGACCTTCCTGGGTAGGGTCCAGTAGAAGGAAGTTAGGTCACTGGGTGTGTCCTTGAAGGAGACATTGGGACCACGGTCCCTCTTTCTCCTTTTGCTTTCTTGCCACCATGAGGTGAACGGGTCTCCTCCATCACACCCTCCTGCCACGCCGCACTGTGCCCCCGCAGGCCCAGAGCAAAAGGGGCAAGAGATCCTGGACTCGTGAACCAAAACTAACCTTTCCTTCTTCTAAGGTGGTTGAGCGTGGGCATTGTGTCACAGTGACGGAAAGCTGACTAACAGCGTCTCCCACCCCTTGCTACATTTTAGAGACTCGGGGTCCATCATGCCGGCCTGGTGTGGGAGCAACAGGACCAGATGACATGGGGCAGACAGCGGGAGAGGCAAGGAGTTAAAGACACCTGAAAATTCACTTGGGATCCCATCAGGTTCAGACCTGATGCTGCCACTTTCTAAAAGTGTGACTCGGTGCAAGCGATTTAATGATCCCCAGTGTAACTCAGTAGTTGGGACTCAGTTTCTGCTTCTGTATAATGGGACTATAGTAATAATTATCAGCCCTTAATTTAGTGATGACCCTGGTCCAGACGCTGTTGCGAACCCCTCATGTACACCATCTTGTCTCACCCTCACTCCGGCCCTCCGAGGAGGAGCTATCAGCATTCACATTAGTAGAAAGTATCCCAGATCAGGCACTGTCACGGCCACATGGCTGCTCTCCCAGTGGCAGATCTGGGAGGACCACCCAGACTCAGCTCTCACCACTGGGCCGTACTGCCTTACTCTGCAGTTAGACCATCTTGTGAGGATGTGATAAGATCATGCTTCACATAAACACTGAGCTCAGACCTGGTGAACAGAGGCCGCGGATAAGTGGCAATTAGCTCTTCCCTCTTCCCCGCTCAGAGTCAGAGATCTGGATTCTCCCAGTGTTTTCCTCCCAATGGTTGCCCATTGCACCCTGCCTTCGGCTCCTATGGGGAACTTATGCCCTTTAAGGAGCCTTGGCTGTGACACTCTGCCCGGATACAGAGGCAGTGCTGCCCTAGGCTGCCACCCACAGGCTCTGGCCAGACTTGGACCCCGCTCTCCCACTGGCTGGACACCTGGGCTCCATGACCCTGCCTCGGTGTGTCGATCTCCTTATCTCTAAACTGGGGGTGTTGAAAGGAGAAATGACTTAATGTATGTTAAGTGCTTGGAATGGAGCCTAGCGCGGGAGGGAACGCTGTAACAATGTTTGCTAAATAAATAAAAGTCATGAATTTTCTATGTTCTATCCAAGCTTCAACCAAAAGGGATTTTTTTTTGGCTCAAGTTTTGGGGATGAGTGAGATCCCCAAGATCCAGAGCCTCGAGCACCCCATCAGGTCCTAGGGTCTCTCTCGCGCCTCTTCCCTTTGGCTTGGCCTCACCCTGGGCAGGTCATTCCCTCAAGGGGAGACAGAGCGACCAGCTCCGGGGACCACCTCCCCGGCTCAGCAGTCCCAGCGGAACTCACGGGCCCCTCATCCCACAGTTGCACCTGAAGTCTTCTGAGGGATCCTGTGGGCCTGGCTTGAGTCCCAAGGTGAGAGTCTAACAGACTGAGGCTGTCACCTGTCACCAGCTGCACACACCACACAGGCTATGGCAGGGAGCGGGTGGCCCCCAGGGGACATCTCACAGCCGCTTCCCAAAGCAGAAGGGCTGGACACTGAAGAAAACCAGGAGCGCTCTGCTCTACCCCCATCCTGGACTCCTGTATTAGGGTTCTCCAGAGAAACGGGGGCCCCAGGATATATGTTAAAGGAGATTTGTGATGGAGCCTGGTGCCCGGGATGATGGAGACGGAGCAGTCCTACCACCTGCCGTCTGCAAGCAGGAGGCTCAGGGACGCTGGAAGGCCTGAGAACCAGGGGGCGATGGTGTAATTCCCAGCTAAGGCCAGCACTGAGGGGCCGTGGGTGTGAGTGCTGGGGTGTCAAGACCCCAGCAGTGGGAGCTCTGTGGTCCAAGGGCAGGAGAAAAGGATGCCTCAGGCCGAGAAGAGAGGGATTTTCCTGTTTGGCTGGTGCCTGCCCACATGGGTGAGAAGGGATCATCTTTAGGCAGCCTACTGATTCAAACGCGAACCGCTTCCAGAAACACCCTCCACGTCACGCTCTGAGACAGTGTTTTAGCAGCTCCCTGGGTCTTCCCGAGCTTAGTCAAGTGGATCGTGCTCTTTTCCTGGAAGGTTTTTCTCTTGAGCAAAACTGCAGAAGATCCAGGCCTTGCACATTTGGGAATGCTTTGGGGGCATTGTTGATAAAACACCAAAGTGTCTTAGAAAGAATATTGTGCAAGTGAAGACCAGGATCAACATTCCTATGTGGGAGACCACAGAGAAGGCAGGCTAGGGCCCTGTGGGGCTCAGGAAGAGTCTACTGATTCCCCACCTGCAGGACACAGTGTTAATCAGTCTGGGGCCCCCTGGTGTGCATGCATGGTTTTAGAAGTCTGGTTCCCTGAACCTAGGGCTTCCAACCTTCACAGCCCTAGCTACTCAAAGCGTGGCCTTCCACCAGCAGCATCAGAGAGCTCGTCCACGTCCGCATTGCTTAAATGGAGTCTGCAGGACCAGAAGCCTTAACTTCACTGGGGAGCTGATGGGAAGTTCAGATCTCAGGCTCTACCTGAAGACCTGATGGACAGGAACCTGTATCATCATCATCATCATCATCATCATCATCTTCATCATCACTGTTATTATTATTTGCCCTGTAATAAGATCTCCAGGAGATTGTATGCACGTGAAAATTTGAGAAGCGCTGCCATGTTTACAGTTCTCCAGGGCTGCTTTAACAAAACACTACAAACTTGACGGCTTAAAACAACTTATTCCCTCACAGGTCTGGGGGCCAGAAGTCCAAAATCAAAGCTTCCACAGATGTGGTTCCTTCCGAGGACTCTGAGGGGTACTGTGTTGCAGGACTGTCTCCTGCCCTCAGTGGCTACAGGTGACCCTTGGCACCCCTTGGCTTCTAGATGGATCACTCCAGTCTCTGTCCCCATCATTACTGGCATCTTCCCGGTATTTCTGTGCCCCTATTTTTCTCTCCTTGTAAGGACACCGTCATATTGAATCAAGGACCCACTGTGTTCTAGTATGACCTAACTCATCACATCTGAAACTACCCTATTTCCAGATAAGGGCGCATTCTCAGGTACCAGGGGTTAGGACTTGAACCCATTATTTTTGGGGGACACAATTCAACATGTAACAAACTACTTCAAAGTCTGCCGTTCTTAAATACTGGGAAACTAGCTGACTAAGAAATACCTGGAATAGCTCAGTAAATTCATTTTTGTAAACAATTATGGAAGTTCAGAAAGGAGTAGGTAGGCCTGGAAGAAGACTGTTTTTGTAAAGTGATTCTTGTGTCCAGACAGCATATCCCAGAAGCAACCTCACCTGGCCTCAGAGCCAGGTCACCACAGGGACAATCTGGGAAAGTTTGGCTGCCCAATTGGGGGGTTCCACTGTGATTGGCCTGAAGTATTGCCTAGGCATCAAAATTATGAACCTAGGTGCTTCTAATCTGCAACCAAATTTGAAATCTAATGGGATAGATAGTCTCATTTCCTCTATAGTCCAAAGAAGGAGACTCCCAAATATATTAGTGGGACATAAGTACAAAATATCGAATATGAGCACATACAGATCACTAAATAGTATTTTTTTTTTTACAGTTCTTGAGGGTGAGAAGAACAAGAATGTCTATATCTAGCATCATTCTCAAAATATCCTGTGATGGTGGACTTTGCTTAATTCTCCTGAAGTCTTGTTGATTTTTAAGTCCTATTTTAGACTACTTTTATTTGGTGCTGATGAACTCAATTATTCTTTCTTCTCGGTAAATGAACCCTTTATCATTACATATTGCTTTCTCTCCCCTAGTAATTCATTTCACCTGGAAGTCTATTTCCCCCAATATTCATGTAGCTGCATTAGCTAGCTTTCTTTTTGCCTAGTAGTTATGTGATGTATTTTCTCTGTTCTTTAACTTTTAAACTTTCTGTAATCTTACGTTTTAAATTAATCTCTTGTATAGAATGGAGTCAGATTTTTAAAAATTTGCCATGGAAACCTTATTCTTTAATTTGATCATTTAGTTCATTTATAGTTAATGTAATTATTAATGTACACTGGTGACCAAAATATTTTAACTGCTCCTCTGCAGGGGTTGCAGTTCTCACAAGTGACCATGAGAGGGCGACTCCAGGAGATGCAGAGAAACTCACAAGCCTAGAAGAAACTTGGGGAATCAGGTATTTGCTTTCTGGGGTTCTCTACTGCCTTTGAGGACACGGCTCCCCTATGAGTTCTGGACAAGAAAGGAGCAAGGGTATGGAATTTGGAAACAGGACTATGGTAGATTAGGGGACACAGCTGTTCCATGGCTGTGCCTGTTGGTGGGGTGAGGGCAGTGGAAGGTACCCAAAGGAGAGGTCATTTACCAGCTTATATAAAAAAACTGACATTTTAATAACTAGTCCCGCTAGATGAGAAGTTCAGAACATCATCCCTGCTGATAAGTTTGTGCTTAAGCCAACTCTCTTTTATTGCATTACATATTTGTAACATTTTTCTGTGTTGGTTTTGAAGCACTACATCCTATTTCTATTTCTAAATAATTATGCTAAAATGATCTCATGCGTCTTTAAATTTGCATCAAAGCCTATTATTAATCAACACACTGACGTTCTTCCCTGACAATAGAAGGGTCTCAGTAAACCTGAATTCCTTCCACCCTCCCCGTCTCCATTAACTCAGTGTTGTGTATTTTAATCTTTCATGTTTCTCAGATTCATAAGATCTTCCTGTTATTGTCCTTTGGAAGCATGGTTTTTAAACATTTTCCACCTCTTCACATCCTCTTATAGTTCTATGCTACCCAAGGGTCATTTTCCTTTGGCCTGAAGGACATACTTTAGAATGACCCTAGCGTGGGTCTCCTTTTGGTCTGTGAATGTTTTTATTTTGTCATTATTCATAAAAGATGTTTTCCTGAGGACAGAGTTAATTTCTTTAAACACACTGAAGATAAGTTTACTGTGACCCTCAGAAGCTGTCTGTCACTACAATATAAGAAATATTTTTTTCTCTGGCTACCACTAAGGTATTTTTCTCTATCTTTCCAAAGTTAGTTACATTGTTGTTCTAAAAGTACACACCATAAAATAGAATTCTTTTAAAAAATGTTAATGGTGCATTCTAATCATACGTAACCAGGGATTCATTTTGCCGTTTTCGTACGTGCACATAACATATCCTGACCAGTCTCATCTCCCGCTGTCGGTTGAGCTTCTGCTTGGGAAGTTTGGAATCTTTCTGAAAGAATCATTTCCTGGAAAGCTGCCTCTGTTCTATTCTTTTTCTGAGACTGTGATTAAACGGCTGTTCTATCTTTTCCTGGAATTTCGCCATCTCTTCTGCATTTCCAATCTTTTTCTCTTTGTGCCTGTTTCAGGATAATTTTTTTCAGCTGTGTTTAACACAACACACCAGTAATTTGGGTTATTATAGTTTCTTCATTTCTGGAAGTTCTGTTTGCTTCTTGTTAAACCGGTGGTCACTTTAATGCTCCCTCTTTCCAGCAGATATTTTCGAGCCTGATCAGATATTTTCTACCTATCATCTATTTTTTTCTTTTATTAATCTGTGTCTGACAATCCAGTATCTGGTGTCTCTAAGGTTGCGTTTCTATTGTCCCTTGTTTCATTTTCCCTAATCATGGCACCCGTGCCTAGTTACCTTTGACTGTGTGTTAACCATTGAATAAAGAATTACTTGAAGTCAAGGATGAAAGTGTCCTCCCCCACCTAGGACTTGCTTTGACTTCTCGGTGTCTGCGATCACCATGAACCAACTTTAACACTTCTGGAAGGTCCAGGTGATTCAAACTGCAATTCAACTCACAATTACTTTGAGGGCTCATCTACTTATGGTCCGTGTTCACTTTGAAGATGCGGTCCTTTGGGGTCTTAGCTTCTTGTCGAGAGGGTCTGTCATTACAGTCCATGCTACGGATGGCCCTGGTGTTGGTTTCTGTCTCCCTTTTCCTCCCTCGGTTGTCACATCCAGCTGAAAAATTGACTGACTTAACAACTACACTCAGAAGACAGCTGATTTTATAAACTCATTTATCTCCTTGGGTTTCCATCATTTTATCATTTCTTTTTGGTAATTCCTATTGTTGTGCCAACCCCTTGAAGTGCTGTAAACATTATGACTACTGAAAACTAGTTTTAAGTTGTTTTCAGTGGAAAAGTTGGTTCAAATAATCTAGCTCACCATTATTGGAAGTCTTTCTTGGCACACAGTAGGTGCTCAATAAATGATGTAGAATTGTCATAATTTCCCAAGCAAGCACCACTCTCTGGGTTATTTGTAAGGCTCTTTCCTACTCGTGGAACGCATTCCTCATTTCCCGTCCCCAGCCTGAGACACTCACGTCCTAACATTTGACGAGACTTGAAACAAATGCCAAACAAATTCCCCCCAAAGTGTTTCCTGTCTCCCGGCTTCCCCAGATCTGATCCTGTGTCTTGCCTCCTCAAGCCCTCACACAACCTGGTATGCGCCATTCTCTGGGGACTTCACTAGAGAGGACCGTATGTGTACACGTACTCATCTCTCCTGTGGATTTATACTTCCTTGTCATTTCTGGCTTCTGAAGAATTCCCTCATTTCCTCTCCGTCTTGGCATACAGAATAAATAGACTTCTGGAAAGTATTATGGCCAGTCCTGTTCAGACCTGGAGGGGATCCTCTGAGCATCCAGTCTGCGGTATTGCTAGAAGCAGGATCAGATGCATCCTCAAAACCCTTAAAGTGAAAGGGTCGCCCTCCCACACCCGAGACCGTGCACACTCCAGTGGCCTCTGACTTGAGTGTGGCTATCGCTGTGCTACAGATGGGACCTGAGATTCAGAGACACTAAATATCTGACAGAACAGAGTCACAAAGCTGGAAACGGAACTCACGTCGTTCCACTCCCAGCCTGTGACTTGATCCTGGACCTCATAGATGCTTCCCAGGTGCTCTGTGCCATTAGTCATTTTTTTGGTCCCAATAGCACCTCTTTGGACGCAGACCTTCTGCATGGAAGAGAGCCGTGTGCGGGAGTCAGGTGGCAGGCAGGAGGTAGAGCAGGCGATGGGAGGTGTCCCGTGTGCACCTGTCGGAAGGCTTTCCGTACCTCTGTCTTGCTTACCTCACGACTTTGGTCCCATTTCTCACGACTTGCATGTCCACCATGCAGCCCCCGGTGACGTAGGCAGCCAGGTTCAACTCCGAGAACTCTGCCTGAGGGAGAGAGCAAACAGAAGAGAACCCGCTGAGTCCCGACACCGTGCAGCTGCTCACACGCACCCCGTGGGTATCCGTGGGAAATGCGCATTAAGCTCCAGCTCAATCTTAGCAAAGCTGCCTGGAGCTTCATTTCTGAAAGATGAGGAAGCTGAGCTACACAGTGTCCTGGTGACACGCTCGCGATCACACAGTGAACCCAAGGCAGAATGGGACCCAACTTGTGAACCTCTGATTCAAAGACCCATAATTTTAACCACTATTCATTTCTGCCTCCTTGAAGGGAGAAGAGGCCACTCTAGCTCTGGGACCAGGAAATGACCAAATGCTGTTAATGGGCCAGTTTTTGCTGGACTTCTTCTGGCTCATGCTGCAGGGGTGCTGGGTCACAGATCCATGACAACGTATCTCTGGTCCCAGAACCTTCCTCAAGTTATTTGCCTGCACCTCCCTTTTTTGGTAATGACTTCTCTCACCTCCACCCACATGGCTCTGTGCCTGTGCACTGACATGCTGCCATTTTGGCCACAGTGGGTGGGGTGGGCATCGGACCCAGGGTGGAGGAATAAGATGGTCCTCCCTGAGAACTTGAAAGTGCTGAGTGCTCCACACAGGTTCTTTCTAGGTGGTTGTCTCTTTACTGTACAAACCTGGGTGCTATTTAAGACCATGTTTCCTGCTGGCTGCAAATGGAGAACAATAGGAAACCATAGTGGAGTGTGGAAGGAGAGAGAGAGAGAGAGAGAGAGAGAGAGAGAGAGAGAGAGAGAGAGAGATATCACCATCACCAAGATAGGGAAAAAGACACAGGGGCAAGAGATGGGGAATCCTGTTGACATTCATGGACCAGCAATGGTCCTGCCTCTGGATTTGCAGTTCCATCCTTTTGCGTACTTATTGGTTTAAGCAAACCTTACTGAGCATCTGTTGCTCTCAGTTAGAATCCCATGGAATTCATTCCTCTGACCACAACACATGCCCCTGAGATGGAGGTTCATTGTGACAATCATCTGTATGTTTTGTAAGGTTGCTGTAACAAAGTACCACCACTGGTTGGCTTAAACAGCAAAGATTTATTGTGTACAGGTCTGAAGGCTAGAAGTTCAAAGTCGAGGTGCTGGTAGGGTTGGTTTCTTCTGAGGGCTTGTGAAGGAAGGATCTATGCCAGACCTCTTTCCTTGGCTTGTAAGAGAACCATCTTTCCCCTTTGTCTCTTCACGTCATCTTCCCTATGCATGTCCTTGTGTCCAAAGCCACCTTTAAGGATGTCAGTCACACAGGTACACTCTCACTTTAATGATCTCACTTTGCCTTGATTGCGTCTTTAAAAGGCCCATCTCCAAATAAGGTCACACTCAGAGGTACTGTACCTGAAGACTGCATGTGAGTCTTGGGAGGTAACAAGTCAGCCAATAATGATGTCATCTAAAGGGCATCTCCCCAAACTTATGCACAGTGGTGCCAAAAGCAGGTTTTGGACTTAGTGACTACACAAAACCACTCCCATATATGAATCCTGTGCTGGCCTCAGCATTCGCATGCATGAATTCATTGAATCCTCATTTTTCAAGATGAGAAAACCAAGGCAAAGAGACATCAGTAACTTCAATGTCACATACTAGGTAGCAGGAGTGACTATTCAACCCCAGGCAGTCTGGCTTCAGAGCCTGTGAGTATTTTGGGGGGCGGTGTGGGTCGGGGGTACCAGGCACTGAACCCAGTAGCACTTAACCACTGAACCACATCCCGAGCCCTTTTGTGTCTTTTATTTTGAGCCAGGGTCTCGCTAGACTGCAGAGCCTGTTGATATTGTGCTTTACACTGCATACCCAAGCTGTTCAGCTGAATGAGGCACCAGGTAGATCATAACTGGAAATTTTAGAGACCTAGAAATAATCCATTTAAAGAGAAAAGACAAGTTTGCATTGAAGGTAAATATGATTTTCATGGTGACTTAAATGTATCTCCCTGGAATCATTTAATAGGAATTAAGACCAAAGACCCCGCCCTCTCCACCAGAGCATTGAAGGAAACCTAGAATACTACGTCCCTAGCTCTAACTAACAACCTCATCGTGCTGTGATAAGGTGAAAAGAAAAGAGTTTAGGTTGGTAAACAGTGGTCATGACCTGGTTATTACGTCTGAAGCTTTGCAAATTAGCCCCATGATGCTCAAGCTACTTCCCTGGCAAGATCACCAAGAAGGGTGAAGAAAAGTTGCTGCTTGTGGGTGGCAGAGAAGTTAGAAGAAGCCTGCAAAACAGGGGAGCTGGTCACCATGAGGAAAGGAAGTTCATCAGAATCGTGGGGAGTAGAATCTCCTGCCAACCACGGTGCAGACCCAGGGACTGTCTTGCCGCCCGAATGCAGGGTCGGCTCTGGGTGGACTTTGTGAAGCTGGAGGCCTGTCTTGCTCAGGTCTAGTTGTGCGGGGTTCTTTTCCATCTGTGGTTTATGGATAATTAGAGTAGTAGATGCTTGGGTCACAGAGTAGCAGGCCTCGGCTGGATCAAGCATAGACAGTTGAGGTGGTAAAGAAGTACGGCCTTCCTCTGAATTTAACTTCTAAAATCTTCAATAGCTATGGAAATGAAATAGAGGATCCAAGCCGCTTCTTCAAAATAACTTGGTTTTCCTGGTAGAATCTCAAAGAGCAGCCACTTTGGAAGGGTCTCAGAGCCCCCGTAGAAACTGTAGTGGATTCAATTGTATTTCCTGGAAAGATGTGTTCAGGTCCTAACCTCTGATGCCTTGGGGTGGGAGGTGGGAGGGCTTTTTGTTTTTTTTTTTTTTTTGGAAATGGGGTTTTTGGAGAAGTAATTAAGATGTAATTAAATGGGGTTTTTGAAGTTGAATTACCCAAATTCAATGACAAGTCCTTAGAAGACAGGAGGGAGGGAGACAGAGAGACATAGGGAGAAAGGCCATGTGAAAATTGGGGCAGAAATTGGATCAATGCCAATGAATGCCATTGGATCCACTGAGGCTGGTGGGGGGCAGTCGAGGAAGGATTCTCTCTGAGAGCCTTCAGATGGGGTGCAGTCCCACAGAAACCTTAATTTAGGGTGTGTAATCTCTAGAACCAGAGAGAATACATGTCTATTGCTTAAGCCACCTAGTTTATGCTAACGTGTCATGGCAGCCCTTGGAAACTAATTCAGTAACTTTGGAAAATGAATGTAACTTCATTGTTGTGTGCAAAGTCACCAGAACTCATGGAAGATCAATGTGACGGGGTCAGGATCCCTCAGTCACTGCACCAAACACAGGCATTTAGGCACATCATTATGCACACGTATTCTTTCTCTGTCCACCTGTGTCTGTCTCTCTCTCTCTCACACACACAGTAATAAACCAGCTGTTTACTTAAACCATAAAGCAGTACGGTCAGAATCACTTAAATTTCCTGCATGAGTTAACCTCTTGACCTCAATATTGTTTTAGCTCCAGCTGGGTTAGGTGCGGTGTCTTTTTTAGATACTACACTTTAGGGACTGTGGTAGGAATAAATGCGTACTCGGGAGAGCACATTCAGATGTAAGTTTAGGCAAGTTACTAACTTGCATAAGGACTTCTACTTATGAAAAAAAATGAAGTCCTACAGATTGAATCTTAGTTTGGACGTCTCTGGAATAGAGACAATGGTGTTAATAAATTCATCTTCAAAATTTTTGTGAAGATTTATGATTATGAGACAACCAGCCCAGGACTGAGACATAGGAAGGCCTCTGTAAATAGCTGTCATTATTATTTTCAAATATTTCATTGTCTTCGTGAGAATAAACCAAAACCATCAAAAATCGTGTAAGCAGAAAAACAGCAACTACTTCAAGTATTTAAAACACATAAATTAAAAAAATATTAAGGCATAGAATATGCACAAGGACTTCTATTTACAGATTGACTCTATTTGAACCCCCATCTTAAGCAAGGAGGAAACCAGACAAAGTCCGTTAAGCAGCGGTTTTCAGCCATTATACAACAGGCATGTCAGGACTTCAGTTTCTACAAAAAGAAAGCAAATTAAATGATCCCCATGATTCCCCTAGATGACTGCCTTGAGGCAGCTTCCAGGAAGAAGAACGACTTGGGAGAATGCAAACAGAACTCTTCAGTCTCACTGAGTTGAGCATACAGAGACTGAAGTTCAGGGGAGCCATGACAGCTAGGATTTGCAGGAAAAAGTACAGGGAAAGATGGAAGGCACAGAAACTGAATTCTGCATGGAGAGAGATGCAGGTCTTTGGCTGAGTACTGATTTGAGCATGCCTGAAAGGGAACTATTGTTCACATTCTTAGGAAATTGTTGTTTCATATTCTCAAGGATGGAGAAGGAAGTATTAACATGACGAGGAGAGAAAAGAAAAAATCATAAGATCAATGAGAAAACCTTCATTAGCAGGCTCAACAATCTCTAGAATCTAGACAAGTCTAGAGGTAGTTCAAGTTCTCACTGGTTAGAGGATAAAGACCTTGTAATATGAATACCTTGGTTTTCCAGGTAGAATCTCAAAGAGCAGCCACTTTGGAAGCGTCTCAGAGCTCTCAAAGTTTAGTACTAGGACTAAATTATTCCTGGATTAAAGCATGCTCTGCGTCTAGGAAGACAAATTTGTCCTGTTTTGCTTTGGGCCTTCCCAGCATTAGAACTACAAGTACTAATTCTCAGATGCCCATCAGTTCCCATGTCTCGGGAACTTCCTTAGACCCAGGCAAAGTGGAAAGTTTGACCATTTTATCTAGCTTTGTCCCAAAAGAAGTTTAAAAGTAAATCTTGAATGAATCAAGCTTATTTCAAAGAGCTTTACTGTGTATTAAAGTATACTTCTCTGCAGAATAAATTATACCACTATTTAAAGGAATGTAACAAAATCCAGCGTACAACACTCATAATGAAAAAGTTATGGCAATTAATCATAACTTACTACGCGTGCAAAGAAGCAGAAAAACATTATCTCTAATAGAGGAACAGATCCAGAAATGGGAGAGCTAATGGG